AGGCAATGAGATTGGCACAGGATAGAGCACAGTTTAGGGCTGTTGTACATAGGGTCGCTATGAGTTGCAAGCGACTCGACGGCACATAACAACAACAACAACACTTCTCCAGCACCACAGCTCAAAGGCATCGATTCTCCTTCTATCCTCCCTAGTCATTGTCCAACTCTCTGACGCATAACAAGTGATTGCAAAGGCATAGCCTGTATCAGACGCATCTTAGTCTCCAGAGTGACACCAGAATCCAGAACTCGTTTAGGAGGTTTAAATTCCAAACTTGAGATGCAAACTCTAGAGTCTACAGTCACTTTTTGAGTCACTTAATGTACATTATCCTGGGAACATTCTTTTCATTTGCATGTTACTTGAGCCCTGGTAGTGTTGGAGCTAGGCACTCAGTGTTAACTAAAGGGTCGGGGGTTTGAACCCCCAGATGCTATGTGGGAGAAGGACATAGCAGTCTGTTCCTATAAAGATGACAATCTTGGAAACTGTATAGCAGTTCTACTCTGTCCTTTAAGGATTAAAGGACATTCATTGTGAGTCAGAACTGGTCCAATGGCAATGGAGTGTGTGTGTGTGTGTGTGTGTGTGTGTGTGTGTGTGTGTGAGAGAGAGAGAGAGAGAGAGTTATCTAGTGCTCTATAAGAGAAATACTTTAACATACACATTCCCACCCCCACCCCCTGCCACAACAGGAGGCTAGAAGGCTGAATTCAGGCCACTTGTTCTAGGAAAAAAAGCTTTCTCTGTCTGCTGGCTCTGGAGGAAGTCCCTTATCTCCTTTCAACACCCATGGACTCAGCCTTCCTCAGAAATTTCCATATATCTTAATATCAGTCTTTCCCTGGGTCTAGGAGTTTCTTAGTGCAAGGTCCCTGAGTCTAGAGTTGTGCTCCACTCCTGGGTATTCGTTCTGAGTGGTAGTTGGGTTCCTTTCTGAGCTTCCCTGTTTAATCTTTTTTTTAAAAAATATTTTATTATTTTTGGGTGTGCTGTCAAATCAGATCCGACTGGTACAGGAGGAGATTGTCCCTCCTTCTCCAGCAGAGCATCTAGTGGATTCGAACCATGCACCACTGGGACTGACGTGCAGCTTCTTGCCGCTAGGCCACCAGAGCTCGCCTGTTTAATTTTTTTTTTTATACTCAAAAGAGTTTGACTCAAACTACAGCCTAATCCTAACGGAAATGCTACCAGGTTTTCAGTGAAGGGTTTTGGGGTTTTTTTTTCCTTTTCAACACTTTATGTTTTTAACAAGAGCTTACAGAAAGGTTGGCCTTTCATTTACCCATTGCCTTACCTTTCCTTCCTCTTATTCTCTTCTCCCCCCCCCCCCACTCCAGTCCACTTTGTAATGCTGTCTTGTTCCAGGCTGTTATCATACATAAAATATCTAATCATATATTCCTTTCAGACAGTTCATCTCCTCATCTGTTTCAATGCAGTGTTCATGATCTATCCAATCTTTCCCCATACTCCCCACCCCCCAAACTCCAGTGCCAGTCCTGTTTTATAATAATGGTGTTTAGGAAATATCTGTCCTTTTGTGACTGAGACATTTCACTCAGATGATGTCTTCCAGGCTCCTGTACAATGTACAATTGCAATGTTTTATAAGTTCCTTGTTTTTCAGTGCTGCATAATATTCCATTATGTATATGTACCACAATAGCTTGCTTCTGGAAACCCTGTAAACCTGGAGAAAGGATGAAAGGATACAAGTGTCCAGGACTTTCATTCACAGGGTCGCGAGGAGTCACCTCCGACTCGATGGCACTTAACAACAACAACAACATATGTACCATAATTTTTCCATCCATTCATTTGTTGATGGGCACTTGGGTTGCTTCCATCTCTTTGCTATTGTGAGTAACACAGCATTAAACATGGGTGTTTATGCATCTGTTTGAGTCATGACTCTGGTTTCTTTAAGGTACATTCCCAGTAGTAGAATTCCTGGGTGAAATGGTATTTCTATTTCCAACTTTTTGAGAAAGTGCCAGACTGTTGTACACTTTCCTTTCCCACCAGCAGTGAATAAGGGTTCCAATCTCTCCACAATTTCTCCAGTATTTGTTGTTTGCTGCCCTGTTGAATTTTGCTCTTATTGCTGGTTCAGTAAAAGTTTGCAGAGCATCTTTGGTCCCTGTCCAACAGTTTCTACACAAGCTGTTCAATGATACTGGTTACATTCTTCACAATGCCTGCATGTTCTCATATTTTCTATTCTGATTGTTCTGTTTCCATTAATCTAGTTTCCCTGACCATTTACCTCCTTGTCTTTGTTTGAAAGTCATTGTTAACTATTTGGTTTAAAATGTATATTGCTGATTTCTCTGTTTTGTTTTTAAAGGAACATGGTCCTCACAAATGATGTCCACTAGCTTGTGAGTAGTGGGACCTTGTAAAGGAGGCCTTGTGGCACAGGGCCTAAAGCACTCAGTTGCTGATGAAAAGATGGGTGTTTTGAACCCCTCAGCTGCTCTGTGGGAGAAAGATGAGGCAGTCAGCTTCTGTACAGGTTACAGCTTGATAATAAGCATCACTCCAGGGGCACCGTGCTGTTGCTGTTGTTATGTGCCATCGAGCCGCCTGTGACTTATAGCGATCCTATGTACAACAGTCCTAAACCCTGTTCTATCCTGTGTCAAATTTATTGTCTCTGGCACGCCTACCCCCATTACCCCAGTCACTGAATCAATCCTTCTCATATAGGGTCTTCCTCTCCTGCACTGTCCCTCCACCCTCCCAAGAATGACGTCCTTCTCCAAGGACTGGTCCCTCCTTGCAACATGTCCAAAGTATTTCAGATGAAGCTTGAGAATCCTTGCCTCCAAGGAGTAGCTTGGTTTAACCATCTCTAGGATGAGGCTATTCGTTCTCTTAGCAGTCCATGGTATATTCAACACTCTTCTCCAAAATCACAACTCAAAGGCATCAATTCTCCTTCTATCCTCCCTAGTTATTGTCCAGATTTCTGATGCATAGCAAGTGACTGCAAAGACCATGGCCTGTATCAGGCACACCTTCGTCTCCAGACTGACATCGTTGCTCTTCAGTATTTTGGAGAAGTCTCTGACAGCAGACTTTCCCATTGCAATACGTCCTTTAATTTCTTGGCTGCTGGTGCCAAGAGTGTTGATTGTGGAGCCAAGAAAACTAAAGCTGTGAATAATCTCAATCTCTTCACCATCTTTCATGATGCTGCCAATCCTTCCGGTAGTGAGAATCTTTATTTTCTTGTTGTTGAGCTTCAACCCATATTGATTGAAGGCTGCAGTCCTTGACCTTCTGCAGCAAGCACTCCAGGTTCTCCTCAGTTTCAGCAAGCAGAGAAGTAAACATTCTGGTAGAACAATCAGCCACACGATCAAAAGAACAGAGTGCTCAAAAGTAAAGCTCATGTTATTAGTGACCCTGGAGGCCAGAGTAGATCTGCATATAGGCTCTCCAAGGAGGTGTGGCCCACAGGGAGCTGTGGGTCTAGCCCAAAAGGTGAACCTCTCTGCAAGTTTAAATCCACCCGAAGCCCTGCAAGAGGAGGATGGGCAGTCTCCTCTCACCTGATTTACAGACTGGCTAAGTAGGTCACCAAGTCTGCCTTAGTCTGGAAGCTCAACAGCATAGCAACAGGCAAGGCTTTAATGATGACACACAGAGAATATCTATTATGAGGTGCCTTGGTTGGGAATTGGACATATCAACCTAGGGCTTGTGTGTGTGTGAGACAGTGTGTACGTCAGAACTGACCGATGGCTGCCCCTACCATAGGCACAGAACATGATTGTCCACTTTCCTCCCAAAGGGAAGCTGGTGGATTTGAACTGCCAGCCTTTGGGTTGGCAGTGCAACTCCTTACATACTAGGCCACCATGCCTCTTGCATAGAAGGTGAGAATTCTCCTACTAAACCCCCACTACCCGCTTGGTTGTATAATGAGACCCTCTGCTTTCAAGTCTCCAACTAATGGTTAATGTGTGCGTTCTGGAGGAGAACTGCTCCATATGAAATTGCTTGGGTTGTTATCTTTATGGAAAGGAATTCTAGGGCTGCTTGGTTAAAGCGTTCAGCTGTTGACCAGAAGGTGGGTAGTTTGCACCCACCAGTGGTTCCACGAGAAGGAGATGTGGCAGTTTCTGTAAAGCTGACGGCCTTGACCTTAAGTAGAGATGGTGGGGGTAGGGGCAGGATGGGGCAGGGTTCATTCTGATCAAGTTTGCTGTGGATTTGTTATCAGTTAGCATCGAGCCTCTGACACCTAACAACAAAACCGACAACGCTTACTAGAACATACTGCCAGCCCCCCCTTTTTTATACTAGTTTATTTACAAAATTTGAATACTTTGTTTTTTTAATGCAGATCCTTCCCTTTTCCCTCACCCCCTCACCCATCAAATTGTGCGACCCCATAATTAATCCTTTCCCACTGAACATCCTCACCCCTCTATTTCCACCCTTCCCCCCCCCTTGGATCCTCATACTCATTCTACAATTACGGTCTTATACAGTATTTGTCCTTATGGGACTGAGTTAGTTCACGCAGCATAATGCTCTCCAGTCCCTTCCAAGTTAGGTAGTAATTTGCAAAATCATTGCTCTTGTGTGCTGCGTAGTATTCCATTATGTGAATGTACCATAGTTTCTCAATCCGTTCAACTGTGGTTGGACTTCTGGGCTGTCTCCATGTTCTTGCGATTCACCGGGGCTTTTTTTTCTCACGGAGCTACTGTGTGGTTTCGAACAGCCAACCTTTTGGTGAGTAGCCAAATGCTTTTAACCAAGGTATGACCAGAGCTCCTTTCCATACAGATTACATCACCGGTGAGGGATGGGGGTGGGGGGAGCATTACCATTAAAAATTGGTAGTGTCTGGTCGTTTTCTGCGGTTTGGACCACAGTGGGGCTGTGTTGTACTGAAACATGATTCTCGAGTTTGTGCGATTTTGTTTGGATCCATCAAATGCTCAGCGCACTGATTCAGAGTTCTCTGTCTCCAGGAGCCCTCCTTCTGGACCCCGAAACTTCGGAGGACACAGAGTCCCACAGCCTGAGCAGACCCACCAAATCCTCGTGAGTAGCCTCCAGCCCCAAGACCTAAACCCCTCCCCTCTTTCCCACTGCTGAGCACCAAGTGAGGCCCCTGACCTCGGAGGGCCCCTGCCCACTGGCTTTTGCTCCAGGAAGCAGTACCTGCGACAGGTCATTGCAGAATATAAAGCCCTGGACCGAGAGCTCCCGTCCATCCGGAAGTTCGCCACACCACCTACCGCCCAGCCACTATGCCTCTGCATGGAGACCTTGGTGAGGGCGCTGGGACCTCCTGGGGGGTGCGGCCTGAGTGGGCGCAGGGGGATAAGGGGGCATGTGGGCACGTGCAGAGCTGGGCAGCCCATGTGACTATCCCAACTCTGCTGCGCGCCTGTGTGGGGCCCAAATCAACCCTCTGACATTGAGTCAGAGCAGACGCATGGCGTCTCAGGTGGTGTTGTCTGTAAGGGCGTTGCACTGCTGCTCCAACAGCCATGCATTCTTTGCTGGTTCGAATCCCCCCGCAAAAAAAGACAGGCACCCTCCTGGCGTGTGATTTTACAGTGTCACAAACCCAGTATTGGAGGCGAAGGATGGGGAAACTTCATGTCATATGCTTTGGGCATATTGCTAGGAGAGGTTATTCCTTAGAGAAGGGCATCAGCTTGGAAAGGTGGAGGGACGACAAAGGAGAGGAAGACTCTCAAACAGGTGGATTGCCACGGTGACCGCAGCAAAGGGCTCAAGTGTGTCAGAGATGATGAGGATGGCACAGGATAGGACAAGGTTCAGATCTGTTGGTCGTAAGGTCCCTTGACTCAAGGCCACACAACAACAACAAACTCAATATGAGTGGCCGTCAACTTTGTGGCACTGGTGGATTTGAACTGGTAACCTTTCTGTTAGGGTGTTGTTGAGTTCCTTGGCACAGGGATGGCTGGTTGGAAATTGATTGTGAATTTGTCAAAGGGGAAGTTGTCATGTTTATCACTCCTTAACTTCAAGGGGGAGGCACTCTCAGTGGCATAGCATGTTATGTCTTGTGCTGCTAACTAAAAGGTCAGCAGTTCGAATCCATTAGTGACTCCAGAGGAAAAAGATAGGAAATCTCCAATAAAGATTTCCAGCCACAAAAAACCAACGGAGGGTCGTTATGCATCAACTGGAGGAGCAGGCAGTGGGTTGGATTGAGTTCTGGCCTTGAGCTGGGGGCTGTCAGACAAAGGGCAGAGAATGGAATAGAGGGGCAGGGAGGACAGAGAGAGGAGACAGGACAGACATTGTTCTGCTAATCTACCATGGAATTTTGTGCTTACAAATATCACAAAACTTCACTTTTTTTTTTTAAAAAAAAGGTTTCTTTTTATCAGTCAACAAACTTTGATGATAGCTACCCTCAGGCAGAGACAGATCCTGGATCTCTCCTTTGAGGGTGGACAGAATAACTTAATGAACAAGGAGGGTTTAAAGAGCACTTAGAGGGAGCTCTGGTGGCCTAGTGGCAAGAAACTGCACTGCAATCCCAGAGGTATGCGGTTCAAATCCACCAGACGCTCTGCTGGAGAAGGAGGGCCAATCTCCTCCTGTACCAGTCAGATCCAATTTGACGGTACAGACACAAAAATAATAAAATAAAATAAAAATTAAAAACAAAAATAAAACACAAAATAAAGAGCACTTAGCTTGTGCTGCTGTCACAGTAGTTAAAGCGCTCACCTGCTAACAGAAAGGCCACAGATTTGAACCCACCAGGTGCTCCCCGGGAGAAATACGTGGCAGTTGGCTCCTTTCAAAACACCCTATAGAGTCACAAGAAGCTACACTGCAATCCCAAAGGCACACAGTTCAAGGCCAACAGCCGCTTTGCAGGAGAAGACCAGCCAATCTCCTCCTGTGCCATTAACTGCTTCTGAAAACCCACTGGAGGGTCAGCTGTGGGTGGGTTCCAACTCTACGGTGCAGAAAGGTTGAGGTTCAAGGTCACCTAGAAGTGCTGTGGAAGAAAGGCGTGGTGATTCCCATCTCAGAATAAACTATTAAACGCCCTGTGGGATGCAGTTCTACTCTGATACAGCAGGGGACTCCAGGAGCAGGGCTCAGCGGGACCAGCCTCAGCGCTAGGCTCCTAGCTAATTAGCCAGGCTTTACCAGCACAAGGAATGCTGTTTTTTTAATAGACCAGCCTCCACCCCATCACTCTTCTTTGTGGCTTTGCAAAGGGGACCTCCTCCTCCTCCTCTTCCCCTCCCACCCACGGCTTGCCTTGATTTCATTTTTAGTTCCTCTGCCATTTTATTTTTAGTCTTCTGTGCGATTATAGTTTTAAAAAATGATACCAACCCAAACCTACTGCCCTCTTTCAATTCGGGCTCCCAGATATATCCTCATTCAGGCTTCTGAGGTTGTAAATCCTCATGGGAGAAGACTGCCTCGCCGTCCTCTGACAGAGCGACTGGTGGGTTCAAACTGTTGACCTTCTGTTAGCGGCCCATTCATAACACACTATGCTATGAAGGCACTGTTTAATGAATCATGAACTTTAAAAAGAACTTTTTTTTTTTACATGCGATGGCAATGGTCTGTTACCTTCAGCGTCCTGATCCTGTGCTGAAAATGTGGCTGATGATGACCAGTATGGGATGGGTTGTTTTTTGTTTTTCTTTTCCTGAATGAATTAAATAGTTTGACAGGAAGTTGGATGGCCCTTGGTTTTGAGTCAGCTAGCCTGTGGCACCCTCACAGACTCAGCTCTCCATGGCTACAGTCACTGTGTCAATCCATTCCATTCCATTGATGATCTTCCTGTTCTCTGATGACCCTCTGTTTTTCCATGAATCGTGTCCTTCTCCAGTGGCTGGTCCTTCCTGACAACGCGTCCAAAGTATATGATTCTCTGGTCTTCCTTACTCATCGTCCAAGTTTCACGTGCACACAACAGCGTCCTTAGTTGGTATATCCCAACGTCTTGTTATGTGTTGTCGAGTAAGAACCCACTCATAGCTGACCCTCCAGCAGGTTTTCAGAGGCAGTATGTTACAGGGGACGAGACTGCCCATCTTCCACTCACAGAGTAGCTAGTGGATTTGAACCACATACCTCTGCATTGACAGCGGTGGCCTAGTGGTAAGGAGCTGCGCTGCCAACATGAAGGCACTGGGTTCAAATCCATGAGCTGTTCTGCATAAGGAAGATGGACAGTCTCCTCCCCTGCAATCTACTGCGTCTGAAAATCCGGTGGAGGGTCATCTACGGGTCTGTTCCGACTTCACAGTGCCCCACAAACAACCAGAACAAGCCACCAGATCTCCCTATATCCAAACTGGACATTTCTAAACTGTTAACATGGAGCGGGATGGGGAAGAGGGAAAGTTGTTGACTGAAGACCTCACAGAATTCTGACTTCCAGGGCATACACCCAGTCTTGGTTGCTGGGCAAGTTTTAGGGACATTGGTAAATGTAATCATTTTAACCACTTCGAGTTTGACTTTTGGCCAATGGGCTCGGTGAAAATGGACTGTTTTGGAGAAGCACCTAGAATGGAAGCAGATGTTTCCTACCTAGAGCACCTTGGGGTTCTCGCACCTTCAGGTGGGGGTCTAGGGTGGGGATACTGGAAGCCAGATGGAACCGGGGCATCACGGGGCCCGATGACTTTCTTGACTCCCAGCCAGAAGAGGACTTTACCCACCTGGAGGTGCTGGAAGCACTGGAGGCTGAGATACCCGGCATCATGGAGAGCGGGCGCGTCAGCAGTATCCGCTTTGAGAACATGAATGTCATCTGTGGGACTGCTGGGCTCCGAAACCGGTGAGCCTGTCCCCGGTGGGGGCAGGGCCCGGAATGAATGAATGAACAGTGAACTCACGAGGAGGCTTGGAGAGAGGGCAAGGGGTGGGGCCTGAATGAGCTAGGCAAGGGGCGGGGCTAGAAGCGGCTGAGAGATCGGCTAGTTTGAGAGTGGGCGGGGCTAGGAATGGATAGAGGGGCGGAGCCAGACCCGAGAAGGGGCGCTGGGCAGCAGAAGCAAGGAGGCGGGCCTGGAGTGAACTCGTTGAGTGGGTGGAGCTAGATGCTGGGAACGGGCGTGACTAGATTCCATGAGGGGGCGTGGCCTGAAGGTAATGGTGGGATGGGACAATGACCTCTGAACATGACCTTAGTGAGAGGGCGGGGCTTGAGGTTACTGGGAGGAGAGAGGTGGTGATGACCTTAGTGAAGAGGAGAAGCTAGGAATGCGCTCCCTAGGGGGTGGAGCTGATAACCAGAAGGGGCGGGCCCTAGAACCAGGAGGGGCGGAGCCAAAAACTAGGAGGGGCGGAGCAGAAAGACCGGGAGGGGTAGAGCCAAGAAACAGGAAGGGCGGGGCCTAGAACCAGGAGGCGTGGAGCAGAGAACCAGGAAGGGCGGGTCCGAGGACCAGGAGGGGCGGAGCGGGTAGTGAGGCCCTTAAAGGCAGTGAATTGTGGGCTTTAGTGGGATGATGGAGGGGAGGGGTGGGTGAAATTGAGACGGGGAGACCTGGAGGGCAGTGACAGAAGAGGCGAAGCCTGGACTAAGCACAGCGGGGGGGGGTGTGTGTGCAACTGAATGGAAACATGGTGAGAGTAAACTGGTAGATGTGAGCGGACTTATCGAGATCAATAAGGAGGTGGGACTGAGAAAGAATGCAATAAAAGGACAGGGTGGGATTATGGAAGAAACCAGACTATGAGTGGCCTAGAGAGGGACACTGATGAGCAAGAAGACCCAGATGAGGGGCCATCGGACCCCGGAGTGACAGTTTTGAAGGGATGGGGCCCAGACTGACCACACAGTGGGACCGGACTTTGGGTGGGGTCGTGGCCAGGAGGGATTAAAATAAGAATGGGCCCTGGTTGTCTGGCTGAATGAGGGGAACTGGGCGAGGGCACGAGAGGACCTGGGGGAGAAGTCAGGGTCGCAGAACGATTTGAGGAGGGAGGAACAGGGTGGATGGCCGTGTGTAAATCAAATGAGACCAGCAAGTCGCCCCTCCCCTCCCTGCAGGTGGCTCATCACGGTCACGGACTTCCAGACTCGCTCACGCCTGCTGCGCTCGGGCATCAGTCCCCGCGGGCTCGCGCACCAGCTCGTGCGCCATGACGAGCTGCAGCTGGGCGACTACCGCCTGCACCTGCGCCGCTCTATGGCCCGACGGCGCATGCTCGAGGCCCTGGGGGCGGAGCCGACCGAGGAAGATTGACCCCGCCCCGCCCGCCAGTCAAATGAAGGGGGCGAGGCCTCCCCAGGAAGGAGGCGGGGCCGGCTCGAGGGGGTGGATACTGTGAGTTTAATTATAAAGAATGACCTGGTACAAAAGCCATTTCTCTCTGCAAAATCTTGGTGGGGAGTCACGGGGAGGGAGGTAATGGGAGGTAGGGACGAACCCCCATATTGTAATCCCGCCTCCCTTAATCTTCCCTTAGTCCCTGCAATGGATGCCTGGGTCCCCGTCCCGTGAGGGGTAAACTGAGGCCCGAGAGGGAAGGCCCGGGCGCCGGGGGCCTTGCACGAGTGACCACTCTTGTCTGACTAGACAACCTGACCGGCCTCCCTCTTCTTCCCTCTCCCGCCCCCCTTGGAAGACAATTTTCGGGCTTTTATTTCAGGGTTGGGTTTTTTTTTTTGTTTTCTGGATATTTGTGTGTGTGTGTGTGTTCTAGGTTTGGGGTTTTTTTGTTTTGCTTTTTTTCTTTTTAAATAGTCTTCTTTTGTTATTGTTCCTATTTTTTTTTTTTTGCTGTGTCTCTCCTCTTTGCCCCCATCCAGTCCCTCCCTCCCCCCACCCCCCTTACCTCTTCTCCTCCCCCCCCCCCACCCCCTACACCCTCCCCCACCCCCGCGGCACCCATCCAGAATGAACAAGCCCTTGATAGACAGGTACCGCGCAGGCCCCCTCCGGACGGGGGCGACCAACACGGGGGGAGGGGGCAGGTAGGGGCCCAGCACGACCTCTGCCCCCTGTTCGCCACCCTCCCCCCTCCCACGACCCTCCCACAAGGTACCCCGCAGATCCCTGACGTGGTGAGGGGAGGGGGCAGCAAGGGCCCCCACCCTTGGACGGAGCGCCCCCCTCGGGGGGGTAGGGGGCAGCCGAGGGGGGATGGGTTTGGGGGAAGGAGGGGGAGCTTCCTTCTTTGGCAGCTGAACTTGGGGGAACCTGAGGGCAAGGCCCTCCCCCCTTTACCCACGGCAGGGGAGGGGGCTTCCCAGGGGGGAGGGGTGGCTTTAAATTCCCAAGCCCCAGGATTAAGGGGAGGGGGGCGTGCGGGAGAGGAGCCATGCTGGAGGGGAAAGAGAGGGGGTGTCTCCTGGAGAGAGAGAAAGGTTAAGAGAAGGGAGGAAGTTCGTGCAGAATGGATGGACAGGTGACCCAGGAAGGACCCTGTCGAGTGAGAGGGGAATGAGACGGTGTGAGGAAGAAGGATGGATTGCAGGAAGCAGGTATGCATAGGGTCTTCTCTCAGAGAGTACAAGGAGGGAGGACGGCAGCGACTGAGGGACTGAGGGGGATGAGAGGAGAGAGATACTTCAAGGACTTGTCCTTTTCCAAGGGGTGAAGGGGAACGAACGCTGGCTCTGCCCAGGAGAGTGTGAGACGAGTGTGCAATCGGACAGAGGTGATGGAGAGCCAGGAGGTGTTCTCCAAAGAGAGAGAAGACCCGCGGCGAGTGCGGGCCAAGCATGAAGCCAAAGTCACAGTGTGTATGAACGCAAAAGGCTGCGAGGGAGAGTGTGTGCTGGAAGGGTGTGAGCGAGAGGGCCTGTAAAAGAGGACAGCACGAAGAGGAATAGAGCCCCTGGGGGTGGGAGATGAGTGCAACCGAGTGAGCGCTGGCGGTTAGAAGGAGGACTGAGAGAGAAATCGCCCCAGAAAGGCAGGTGTGCAAGAGGTGGGAGCGAAAGGCGAGAGTGCAGAGTGCAAGGGGGGGGGGGAGATGCTGGGCGTGGCTGTGAGAGGGAGAGGCGGGGTGAGAGTAAGAATTGCGGGTGTTGCCAGGTAAGAAGGGGAGAGCGAGAGTGTGAGTGAGAGGACGAGGCGGTGAGAAAGAGCGCCGCACACAATAGGTTGTGTGCAAGGGGCTGGACAACAGAGGAGGACGCCAGGGAAGACAGATGTGTGAGCACGGAGCCCATGAGCGAGTGAGGGGAAGGGGTGTCCCAACTGTGTCTGCAGCAAGGGTCTAGAGAGTTCAAGAAGTGGGGTGTGCGGGGGGGGCAGGGGAGGGGGCTGGCTCATGGGACGAGAGTGGAAGAGACAGCAGAGAGCAGAGGACAGACAGAGTGAGAGAGAGGTGTGCAGCGTGTGTGTGAGAGGAAAGCGCGTCTGACAGCGGCGGGGGGGGGGCTCGGAGAGGCGGAGGTGAAGGCGGGCGTGTGCAACAGAGCGAGAGAGGGCAGATTTGTGCAAAATTGCAGCCCAGGAGGGAGGGGAGCAGAGGAGAGGAGCGGGCAGGCGTGCAGAGGGGCGGGGCGTGCAAGAGGCGGGGTGGGAGGGGGAAGCTGTGTGTGCTGGGGAGAGGGACAAGGGGGAAAGCTGGGGGGGCGTCTGGGGAGGGTGGGAAAGGTGGTTCGAGGGGCGGCAGGTGGTGGAATCTGAGAGCACCCCCTTCTCCTGGGGCTTGGGGGATGGCCCCCATCCCATCAGGCGTAGGGTTGACCCTCTATGGCTCTGTCTGTGTCCCCCCCCACAAAGTCAACCTTTCCCCTCCTCCTCAGTCTTCCCTCGGTGAACACCTCCGGTTCCCCCCCCCTCCACTCCCCGCTTCACACACACGCACGCACGTGATCATGTGTCAGCTGCCCCCTCCTACGAGGTGAAAAATGTCCAGCCGGACGGGCCACCTGGTGACCTCCGGCCTGGGGAGAGGACTGGGGCCGGGCGCGCAGTTTTCAGCAGAGTCCCTGGCCCCAGGGCGGTGGGGAGTATGACAGTCAGGGGGTCAGAGGTCAAGAGGCCAGCAGGGTTCAAGTGGACGGGCTGGTCCGCCCAGGCCAGCCATCACCTCTCCAGGAAGAACTTAAGCGCCCGGTCAATGTTCATTCGGTGGCCCACCCTGGTGACGCCCAAGTCCACGTAGTCCTCCTTGGTCAAGGCGGGCAGGTGCGAGCCGTCGATCTCATGGTCCAGGAACTGGGCTCGGTGCTCAGCCAGGCCCAGCCATTCCAGCCAGTCAGCCACGTCGAACTTGGTCCAGAAGCCCAGGGGCTTAGCTCCAAACGGCTTGTCCGGGGGCAGCGAGAGCAGACGGGTCGGTGAGAGGGAGCGGGAGGCCCCCGACAAGGCCCCTCCGAGACCCCCAGATATCCCCGGATGGGGCGGCACGAAGACGGGGGCGAAGGGGTCTGCGGAACCCCCGGCCCCTCCGGTAGGGGAGCCGCGGATGTCAAAAAGGCCCGGGTAGAGGGGTCCGGAGGGCAGAATGGGCAGGGATGAGGGCCGCGGAGCAGGGCTGACCTTGTGCTCCGAGGCGGGCAGCAGTGAGGGGCTGGGGGCCCGGCGGAGCAGGGGGGGCCGCATCTCAAACTCCACGCCCTGGAGGTGACGGGTGGACGCTGAGGAGGAAGCCGAGGGCGAAGTGGCCCCCTGGGCTGCAGCGGCCGATGGGGGGACCCCTGTTCCGGTGGGAAGCGGCGGCAGCGGAGGCTTGGACCAGTTCTGAAACAGGCTGCTGACCGGTTTGGAGAGGAGTGAGGACTGGGAGTCGTCAGAAAGTCTGGAATGTGACAAGCAGGGTAGGGGTGGAGGGAGGGAGGGAGGGGAGAGAGAGGGATGGGGTGGGGGTGGTGGGGAGCAGGGGGCCAGGGTAGCGGGCAGGGTGAGAAAGAGGCAGAGAGGTCAAGAGACAGGGGAGAGAGGGAGAGCGACATGGGGGGTTAGAGAGATGGAGAAGGGAGGTGAGCCAGAAGGAACGGAGGACACCAGAACAGAAATGCAGGGAGAGAAAAGATGAGCAGGGGAAAGGTGACAGTCAAGAAAGATGAAAGAAAAAGAGACATTAAGTGATAATAATAATAACAGCCACCACTTACTGACGCTCACGTGTGCCAGGCAGTGTTCTGAGGGTTTTATGTACGGAGCCTCAATTGAACAGCCCCTCCCCAGCTCCCCAACCCGCCCCCGTGGGCAGCCCCGTGCTGACTACTTTGGATGGTCAGCACAGAGAGGCTTAGGCACTTGCCTAAGGACACACAGCCAGGAAGTGGCAGAGCCGGTTAGATGGCACCGAAGTCTGAGCTCTTAACCACTACTCTAAGCTGCCTGTTGGATTATGACCAGTCACAGCAGAGTGCAAGGCAGGGAGACAGTGAGGGAGGAACGGGGGTGGGGGTGGGGGAGGGAAAGAAAAATAAAGAAATAAAAGAGGGGTGAGCATCCAGGAGGGAGGGATGGAAAGGGGGATAAGGGGACACAGAGAGAGAGAAATGAGGAGAGGGAGATGAAAAGAGAGAAGAAACAAGGGGATAAAGAGTTCCCCTCATCCCTTTAGCTTGCTCAAGCCTGCGCAGGCCCACCTCAGGGCCTTTGCAAGGGCGTTTCCCTCTGCCTTCACCACTGTTCCTCCAGGGAGGCCACCATGGCTCACTCCCGCCCCTCCTCTGGTCTCTGCGCCACCTGCCCCATTATTTGATCTTTCCAAACCGCCCTACTATTGTATTTTTATTTTTCCTGGAATTGATACATCAGATTCCATCTATTGTCTGCCATTCTGTCCACCATCATCCCCCCACTAGAATAAGAGTCCTGTGACAGCAGGTGGGTTGCCCACCTCATACACCTCCTTGTCTTTCCATTCACCATCATTTCCCCACCACTAGAATGAGAGTCCTGTGACAGTAGGGGGGTTCCCTACCTCATACACCTCCTTGTCTTTCTATTAACCACCATCCCCCCACTAGAATAAGAGTCCTGTGACAGCAGGGGGGTTCCCTACCTCATACACCTCCTTGTCTTTCTATTCACCACCATCCCCCCACTAGAATGTGAGTCCTGTGACAGCAGGGGGTTTGCCCACTGCTATAAGGTCCCCTTCACCTCACACACCTCTCCCATCTTTTCTTCTGAGCAGCGCTGGTTCGAATCTACCAGTCGGCTCTGCGGGAGACAGATGGACAATCTCCTCCTGTGTGATTTACAGCCTCCCAGAAACCTGCTGGAGTCTCAGCTATGAGCTGATCCTGACTATTCAGCAATGAATTTGACTCTCTTCCTCTATCAAAGACGCTTACGAATAACCAGCGAATGGCATTAGGTCTCCAGAGCTAGATAAAACTCTGTTCTAACATCAACCGTGGATATTAAACCCCAAACCAGAACTAGGGTGAGCTCTGCAGATGGGCAAGGGGTGTTTTTCTAGATGTCTGAGTCAAGAATAAGACTCTACTTTGCGCCCCCTAAATAATAATAATAATAATAATAATAATAATAATAATAATAATAATAATAATAATAATAATAATAGATCTTGAATGGGCCGGGAGCCTTCTCTGGGGCTGTCCCAGCCATGCGCAGGGGGAAGTTTTAAGTTCTCTTTCAGAATTTCCCCATATCTCCACGTCTGTGCTTTTGGCGGGAGGTTTGTAAGCGTCTGCGTCTCACGTTCTACCGAGGGTGCATCTTTATTTCCTGACAAAGCATATTCTACTGCGCTGTCTCCTTTCTGCAGAGAGATGAGGTCCGCGCTCTCTGAGGCCTCCGGGGGAGGAAGTGCAAAGCGGAGACAGGAACCTATCCTCAGGCACCCAGGTCGGTCGTGTTCCCCCAGAGAGTCACATCTCCAACCAGAGCGAACTCAAGAACCTGGCTGCTTCTAAGCGCTGCCAGACAGACGTCACCAGGAAGCAAACTCAGGAAAACAGTCACCAGCAAGTTTCTCTCCAATCTCCTTGGTGCACAGCCCTCTCTGTCCAATCACGGGCTGTCATGTTGACAGGAGGCGGGGCCCCCCCATAAGCTACGGAGACGATCAAAACCAGGCCCACCTCCTCTGAGTCCACACTGGCTCAAGTCTGCAGAGCTGAACCGAGCTGGGCCCGCACCTTTGCCAAGGCTGAAAGGCCCTATAAAGGGACCTCTTGTGGGCAACCTGTGGAGCTGCCATCCCAAAGGCTGGCGGTTCGAATCCACAAATAGCTCTTTGAGAGAACGCTGGGCCATCTCCTGCTGTGCATTTTACAGCCCTTGAAAAATCTGCCGGAGGGTCAGCTAGGAGTCGGTTCGGACACGTACCAATGGACAAAGCATTTATGACAGCGAGCTTCCACGTCTGTCTCCCTAGGAGCGGCTGCTGGGTTCGAACCTCTAACCTTTAGATTGGCAGCTGGGGGACTTTTAGCGCGACACCAGGGCTCCCCCACAGACTAGTCCACTGGGGTTTTTCTGTTTCCTTTCTGCCAGAACCCAGAGCCCAAAAGGAGGCCGAGACAGGTGGGTTCCCTGCCCCCCGCGTTTGCGCAGTGCCAGGCGGCCCCTGCCCGCTCACCTCTGGCGCTGCAGAGACGAGGTCCTCTCAGGCACATAGCCGGCTCCCCCGCGGTGGCTGTCCGTGCTGCCCGCGCTGCCTCCCCGCGCCCAGGGCAGGGCCCCGCCGGCCGCCGCGGAGCCGCCCCCAAACTGCTGGAGCTTGGAGCTGAGTTCGCTGATGATGCTGGCTTTGACGGTCGCCAAGGCGGAGGCTTGGGGCGCGGCCAGGGGCCCGGGCAGGGGTGGCGGCGGCGGCCCCGGCCCCTCTTCCCAGGGCAGCAGCTTCCGAGGCAGC